TCTCACCAATATATGAAATAGCTCTCTAGTGAAGATTTTCCTTCCTGTCCCTACAACTTTGAGTTTGTGCTCAAAGGAGGAATTTATTCATTAGGGATGAGATTTATGGTTCTATTAGAAGCTAAGATTGCCTGAACAAAATGGTGGAGAGGAGCACTATATTGCCTGGTTCCTATTGCCAGGGGCAAATTGGTTTGCAAGAAGGGCAAGTGGAACTATGTATCTTGTACTCCCTTGACCAGTAGAAATTGTGACTGACAAGTGTGGTGACCCAATCAAAAAACTTGCAATGAGTAATGAATGAGTAAGTAGAGACCTAATGCACAGTATAGTGAATATGGACAATAGTGTTGTATTATAATAACCAAACTTACTAAGAAACTAGATCTTAGTTACACTAATCACAAAAAAGAAATAACTATGTGGTGTGATAGAGATATAAACTATCATTACAATGATAATCATATTACCATATATAAATATATCAAATAAACAAGTTGTATATCCTAAATGTATACAATATTACACGTCAAATATATTTCAATAGAAAAATAAAGTTTTTAAAACCTCTCTAAAAAAAGGGCTTCAAGCAGTTAGGTCCTACAAGAATGCAGGCTTGAGAAAACTTCCCAAGTGAAGCATCCCATCCAGATGAGGTGTTGGTGAAGGATAATAAGAACATGAAATGGGAGTACCTGGGTGTCTTGGTGAGTTAACCATCTGACTTTGGATAAGGTCATGATCTCATGTTTCATGAGTTCAAGACTGGTATCAGGCTCTGCACTGATAGTGCAGTGCTCTATCAGTGCAGAGCTTGCCTGGGATTCTCTCTCTCCCTCTTTCTCTGCCTCTTCCCTGCTCATGCTCTTTTTCTCTCTCTCTCTCTCCCTCTTTCAAAATAAATAAATAAGACTAAAAATGAAAGATTACACTAAAAAAAAAGGAAACATGGAGGGGCACCTGCATGGCTCAGTCAGATAAGCTTCTGACTTCAGCTCAGGTCATAATCTTGAGCCCTGGGTCAGGCTCTGTGCTGACAGCTCAGAGCCTGGAGCCTGCTTCAGATTCTGTGTCTCCCTCTCTCTCTGCCCCTCCCCTGCTCACATTCTCTCTCTCTCTCCCTCAAAAATAAATAAACATCTAAAAATTTTAATAAAAATTTTTAAAAAAGAAACATGAAATGAATGTTGGTAAAAGAAAGTCATGATCATCAACTTAGGTCTTAAGTTGAGTTTTAGAAGTAGAGACTAAAGCAGCTATACTTTACAATGATTATGTATCCCTGATCCCTGTCTTTTTTCTCTTTACATTATGTGAAGAACATTGGTGGTGTCCAACATTTTAGGTCTTAGTTTGCAATATGACCAAATAAGCATTGTCTCAACATAGTATGGTAGCTGAAGGCAATGTATTTTGCGTTGGTGAGAGGCACCTTTTTTTCCATCCAATATACAGAGTGGATGTATAAAGACAAAAAAGGAGAACTATGTTGTATAGCTGTTTGATCCATTCTCATCTTCTACCATTCTACATGCCCTTGGAAGCTTACTCATTCAGACTACAGTGATGAATTCTCTTGCCTTCTTGCTTCCAACTGAGTTTGGCCAATGAGAGGCAACTGTAGAAGACTTGGAGACCATAAAGAGAGTTAAAAAGGAGGATTGGCCCCTAGGCTGCATCCCTGGCAGGTTCCATGTCCCTCTACTGAAGGTCATATCTCCTTTCAGCAGCCCTCTCCATATACCTGTGTTTTCTCTATCGCTGTCTTTATGTCTCTCTCTCATTTATCTTTAACTATATATCATTTATCTATCTCTATCATCTATCTTTGTATCTCTAGCTCCACCTCTGTGCATATGCATCTATCTATCTATCTATCTAATATATGTATCTATCATCTTTCTCTGTTTCAATAACCATAGCTTTGTTTTACTCCTTCAGACCTAGGAATGGTAATGGCCCCCTCCAGTTACTACCCCTGAGGTACTGCACCATTCCTTGTTGCTTTTTATAAGCCCAGGCCACACTGTTATAAGTAATCTCTTTATTAAACGTGACTCATATTGCCCAAATTAAGTGTTCTGTTTTCTGCCAGGATCCTAAGAATTACAAATTAAATTTGAGATTTCTATTATATATCTTGGTGGAGATATTGAATAACCAATTGGATAACTCTATGTATTTGTATCTGTATCTGTATTTATAGATAAGTAGATATCTCTCCAAAGACTGACTAAGATCAACAAGGGAATGAATGTACAAAGAGAAGAAAAGAGGGACAAGGACTGAGACACAGCATTTAAAAATTAAAAGGCCAAGGGGAAGAGAAACTAGAAAAAGGAGACTAAGAAGTACTAGTGTGGAGTTTTGGAAGTAAGTCAAGTACTTCAGGTAGGAAAGAGTGATCAAACATGTCAAATGATGCTTAAAGTTGTACACAAGGAGTGAGAAGTGACCAGTGCAGTTAACAATGTGAAGGGCAATAGTTACCTTCACATAGTGGTGGTGGAGGAAATATTAGTGGTAAAACAGGAGTGAAACCTGACTGGTGTGTTTTAGAGAAAACTATAAGACAAGAGTTAGAGACAGAACTGTAGATAACTCTTTCCAGGAAATTTTCTCCAAAAGCAAAGAAAGGACTAATGGCTGGCAGGGATAATCAGGACTGAAAAAAAAGTTATTTTTCTTTGAGATAAAATAATAATAAAATATTAATACTCTATTCCCTTTTCCTTTCTCCCAATTCAAGATGACTATATTGTCCTCTTTTTCATTCTCCTCAACAGAAATAAAGTGAGAGCTTGCAAATAAGGAGGCCAAGAGCTGAGTTCAGGTTTTCCTCAAGATAAGCACAGACAATGTCAGGAGACTCACTATAGATGGAAAAGGAGGTCACGATGAAACCACAGAACCAAGAGAATGTGATGTCAATATTGCCTGAAACCTGGAGCCACACCTGTGTCAAGGAAGTTTTAGTTTCTCCTCTTGAGTTTTCTAAAAGTTTCATTCACTACTGAGCTTACCTTTCTTTTTTTTTTTTTTTTTTTTACAAATAGTTTATTGTCAAATTAGTTTCTACATAACACTCAGTGCTCATCCCCAAAGTGCCCTCCTCCATGCCCATCCCCCCCTCCCCCCCACATCCATCAGTCCTCAGTTTTTGTCAGCATTCAAGAGTCTCTCATGGTTTGCCTCTCTCCCTTTCCCCCACCATTTCCGCCCTTCTTCTCCCCCTTGTTCCTCCGTCAAGTTCCTCCTAATCCTCCTATACGTGCAAACATATGATATTTGTCCTTCTCTGCCTGACTTATTTCTGAGCTTACCTTTCTTAAAAATTTAATTTAAAAAGACTCGTAGTTTATACTACACAGGTGGTGTGATATTGTCCTTGCAGTGTTGGCTAAATTGTTGTTCTCAAACTTAGAAGTGTGTAGAATCACCTGTAGACTCTTTTAAAATGAAATGATTCCTTAGGTACAGAAGTGCCAAGATTCTGCATTTCTTAACAACTTCTGAATGATGTTGGTGATACTAATCCCCAGACCACTCCTCAGTCAGTAAGAGTCTAAACAGCTTTGCATGAATCAATAACCCCTGCACTCAGGTATTCACACAGTTGGGCAATCCCCTCCCCTTGATTCTGAGCTGGACCTAGTAGTTTTGCTTCTCACGAATACTCCACTAGTGATGGTATACCACTTTCAAGATTAGGTTACAAAAAATCCTGGCTATAACCTGCTCACAATCTCTCTGATGAAGCCAACCTCCAGGTGGAGAGCTCTTCCGAGGAGAAGCCTACATGGAAGAAATTGATGGACGCTGTGTACAGCTATCAGGTTGGAAAAGAGACCCTCAGTCCAAGAGCCCACCAGAAACTGAATCCTGATGACAATCAAGTGAGCTTGGAAGCAGATCCTTCCCCAGTTAAATGCTAGGATTTCTGTAGCTGATTCCTTGATTACGGCCTTCTGAGACCCCCTAATCCAGAGGATCCAGCTAACCTTCGCTCAGATTCTTAACCCACAGAAACTAAAAAAAAAATGTTTATTATTTTAAACCACGAAATTTGGGAGTAATTTGTCACACATCAATAGATAACTAATGCAGAGGAACTGCAAAGAGTCACAAGGAAACTTTGAGTGTTGATGATAATGATCTTGATTATAGTGATGTTTTCATAAGTATATATACATTTCAAAACTCATCAAATTATATACTATAGTTCCCCATATGTCAATGTGTTTCAATAAAGTTAAAAATGCATTATGAAAGTGTCTGGGTGGGAGGAGATTTTTCCCAATTGCTAGGAGATTCTGTTCCCCCCTGAAAATATCACTTCACTAAGACAGAGCTCCTTATTTTAGTGACATGCGGGTTTGTGTGCCTTAAATGCAATACTCTCTTTTTTTTTTTTTTTTTTAGCGTTAAGCAGTTTTTGCCCTTTATTTATTTCTGTTAACATTGTGTCTTAATGCAATACTCTCCTAATAGTACTGAATGAGAAGGGACCTGTAACCTGTATTACTTTCCTGAACTCTATTATATATGATTACCACACATTTTCTTCAATTGTTTTGTCTTCAGAACTTGTCAAATCCCTGACTGAGCTATAATGGTGTCACTGACCTAGGAATCTGGAAGTCATCTTATGCCCAACAATTTGAACTTATTTCATAAATTCAGAGCTCAAGCACTCAGGTTAATGTTCACTTAGTTATAGAAAACATGAATATAATGCCAATTCTATGCCAGGTCTTGTAAACTGGTGGTACAGAAATGAATCAAATATAGGTGTGCCTTCATGGAGTTCCCTGTCAGGTATCTTTATGCTTGAGGGACACCTACTGCCATAACCTTCTGGGTATTCTTGTATATGATCTTACTAAGTCTAACCCACTAATGTTATCATGTGTGCCCATTGGAGGTTGGAAAGAATTTAGAAGGAGAAGTCATGTAGGCTGTGCCCCAGGTTTGCTGCTGGTGCCCATGCTTCTGTGACTTCATTCTTGTGCTTTGCCCCAGCCTGTCACCTTGAGGAAAGCCCTCTTCACATCTTTGTTCCTAAGACTATAGATGATGGGGTTAAGGAAGGCAGAGATAACATTGTAGAATAGAGCCAACTTCTTGTCTTCTTCTGGGGAAGACTCAGAACCAGGTCTCATGTACATAACCATACATGGTATAGAGAACATAGTGACAACAGTGATGTGGGAGGCACAAGTGGAAAAGGCCTTGAGCCGCCCTTGGGCTGAGCGAATCCTCAAGATGGCAGCAAAAATATTAATGTAGACAATGATGATGAGGGAGAGTGGGAACAACAGAAGAATGAAGCCCAAGATGAAGTCCACCTGATCATTGAGAGATGTGTCTGCACAGGCCAGCTTCAAGACTGCAGGTACTTCACAGAAGAAGTGATTGATCTCATTAGGACCACAATAGGGAAGAATCATAGCAGAGACAGTGTATATCAGGGCACAGCTGATACCCCAGAATCCACAGAAGGCCACCATTGACCCACATAGCAAAGGGCTCATAATGACTTTATACCTCAGGGGATGGCAAATGGCCACATACCTGTCATAAGCCATGATTGCAAAAAGCCAAGACTCCGTGATTCCTAGCATCAGGAATATGTACATCTGGGCCACACATCCAATGTAGGAGATGGTCTTCTCCTTGCAAACCAGGTGTATCAGCATCTGGGGCACTGTGGTGGTGACGTAGCCCATATCCATAATGGATAGGACACTGAGGAAAAAGTACATGGGTGTGTGGAGGCGTGAGTCCATGCGTATCAAGGTGATAATGAGCCCATTGCCCAGAAGGGTGATGAGGTAGAGGAAGAGGAAGACACTGAATAGAATAAAGTTTATCTCTGTGTTACGAGAGAATCCTAAAAGAATAAACTCAGTAAGAGAGCTATGGTTTCCCCAGAGTAAATCTTGCATCCTTCTCCTGGTATAGAGAAAGAACAGAGCCATAATTATTCATAAAATAAAGTCTCCAAGTTCAAACCCTGATGCTACTCTTTTTTTAGGAGTGCCAAATATCAGGTAGCAAAGTAAGTTCTTATTAGGACACCTACAAAGCTGGGAACCAAAATTTTTAAAAAGAATTTCCATTTTATATGAAACAACATGTTAATATTGTATTACTTAATCCCAGTTTATTCTAATACCACAATTAAAATAAATTTCACATTTCAAAATGCAGAACTTGCGAAAATGAGTGTCCAAAACTGTGTCCTGCACTTGCTGAACTCACCATAGTCCATGGAGCTTATAAAAGATTTCAAAGTGGTCAAGAAAATAATTGGATATTTGAGATTATAGCATCTGTTGTTAGTTTCATACCACATGGAGATTTCTGCCCCTCCTTGGAAGGTCTTATCAAAATGGGCTTCAATGTGACCACTTGAATAGCTTAATAGGTACTCTGGAACTTTAGAGACATAGTTATTGGATATCTTACTCCAGAAGACAACTATTGTTTGGGGATAAATTGTACTTCATGAAAAGTCAAAATCATGTGTTTCTATGACCAGAGGTAAGTAAGTCATGAGAGAGAGAGAGAGAAAGAGGAAAAGAAGGAAGGAACAAGAGAGAAAGGGAGAGAAATTACCGTGCTAAGATACTATACTCAATAAATATATCCATAAGGAATGAAAGCTGTTTGCTCTACAAAAAAACACATAATTAATTACTAAAAGACTCACAGTAAAATATTAAAGAGCTTCTTTAGGGTAAAGGAAAATGATCCCTGATGGAAGTATCAAATTGAAAGAAAATAATGAACACCAGAAATCATAAATGTGTGGGTAAATATCATAGAATATTGGTTGTTTAAAGCAACAAAAATAGCAACACATTTTGGAGCTTTAAATATACACATAGAAGTTGAATGTGTGACAAAAATGGTCCAATGATCAGGAGGAGGAAATGGACTTAAACTGTTGTTAGATTTTGCATTGTTTGGGAAAATGGCACTTTAAGTGAGATTATAAGCCAAAGATGCATATTTTGGTCTCTAGATCAGGTATCAGAACACTTTTTCATGTAAAGAGCCAGACAATAAATATTTTAGGCTTTGCACAGAATATACAGTCACTGTAGCATATTTTTATTTGTGTTTTAAAAACCCTTTTTAAAATATAAGGTTTACCAATCCCTGTTCTAGAATTACAAAAGAATAATTTTTAAAAAACAGTAAAACTCAAAATACATTACAGAATGTAAAGAGAATAATTAGAAGTTTTTTATTAGTTCAAAAGAAGGCAGGAAAAGTGGAATAAAGAAAAAACATTTGGAATAAGTAGGAGACAAGTATTAAGATGATAGATTCAAACCTAATTACAATAGTAAATACATTAAATGATATCAGTGAGGAAACTTACTGACAAACAAAGATTATCAGACTGGATTTTCAAAAACTAGTAGCAATGCTGGGGCACGTGGGTGGCTCAGTCAGTTGAGCATCCAACTCTCAATTTTGGCTGAGGTCATAATCCCAGGGTTATGAGATTGAACCCCATGCTGTGCTCCATGCTGAGTGTGGACCCTGCTCAAACTCTCTCTCTCTCTCTCTCTGCCTCTTCCCTACTCTCTCTCTCTCAAATAAAAATTTTAAAAAATAAAATAAAATAAAAACTAGTGGCATGAAAGAATTCCATAAAGAAAGGAATAATCTTTAGAAACCAGAGAAGAACAGAAATACAATTTTTAGATTATTAAGATGGTACCAGTCAACTCAGGACTGTCTTGCCTCTCACCTCATCTCTTTCTTACTGCAAGCCTGGCAGTGGCTGAAGCTACTGGGAATTGGGATGAGGAACTGACAAACTAAAAGATGAAGAAACACACCATACTTCCTCCTTTGGGTGACAGGCAACTTGCTACAGCAAGCCTAACTCAATCTGAAGATTTATAGAAGGCACCCTGCAGGAGGTAAGAGTCAGGCTGGTCTTTGAACAGTGGGTAGATGCTAACCACAGGGGAAGTGCAGAAAAGGATATGCCAGGCAGAGAAAGTCATCTGTGTGAAGTCATGAAGCTAGCCAGAGAGTGATGGGAGATGGGGTAAAGAGGTAGGCAAGGACAGACCATGGAGGACCTATAAAGCCCTGAAAAATGGTCTCATGAAGGTGGATTTTGTAGAAAGGAAGATAAGGACCCACCAAATGCTCATGACATCAGGCTTATATCTGGCAACATTCACACTGGCAGCAATGTGGAGACTGCAGCAATTCAGGGAGGAAAGGATGAGAGTGGGAGCAAATATTTAAATGAAATGTAGGTATTCAGCAAGAGCTTTTAGGAGGTGGGTCTAAGGATGTAGGTAAATGATTAGGGAAGCGGTGAGAAAGAATGACAAATTCCAAGTTTGGGTAAACAGATGGGTGGTGATGCCATTTGCTGAGGTTGGGTACACGGTAAAGTACCCAAGTGGAAAGTTGGGAAGGAGGGAAGGAGGACACATGATGAGTCTAGTTTTGGAGCCAGGGAGTTTGTGGGACTCCCAGTATCTGTTTGTCTGATGACTGAGAGCTAAAAAGAAAGCTCTAGAGACAGGAATCTGAGTGTCCTCAGCACTTCTGTAGGAACTGAAGCCATCTGAAGAGATGAGATCACCCAGGGAGAGCATGTAGAGGGAGAAGACAGCTGAAAGCAGCACTCTGAGAAGCCACATTATAAGGGCTAGCCTCAAGGAGAGAATCCAGAGAAGACAATATCAAGAGGCTGAAGGTGGATGACATGTGACACAGAAACCTAAGGAGAGACAAGGTCTACAAGGGGAGGATGGTCTTTGTGGCCAAGTATGCATAGATATCAAGTGAGATATGAACTGAAAGTGTCTGAAGCCAGCCCATCTTCTGCCTTAAATACATTTCCATATTTAAATCTCTTGCCCAGATGGTCCCCCTGCATTCCCATGTGTCCAACTGCCTACTTGAACTCTGCCCATTAATGCTTAATAGACTCCTCAAACTTCTCATGTCGAAAACTGAACTCCTAATTTTTCACTACATGCTCTAGCTCTTGGATCTCATCTCCCATTACTGTCCTTTGGCTCACTCCGCAAAAACCACACTGTCACTGTTACCCTTTCTAGTCCAACAACTGCCAACTAGACTTTCACCTAAAGACTTTTGCCACAACATCCAGATCTCTTCTACCAGATCTCTTTAGCGGGGAGTTCTACTTCCTTCAGCTCCCTGCCCAACTGTCACTCATCAGAGAGCTCCTTCTTCACCATCCTGTCTGAAATGCAACCATCCTTCACTGTCTCCTTAGTCAGCTTTGCTTTTATTGTACTTCTCACTTCTTCAAAAACTCATCTATTTATCTGATTATTGTCTGTTGGCCCCAAGTAGGTTGTAAAAGCAGAGACTTTGTTTTGTTCACTAGTATATCTCCAGTGTCAATCATTGTGCCAGGCACATGGTAGGAACTCAATTAATATTTATTAAATTGTGAAAGCAGGTGCCAGTCTTAGATTCCATCCTAGAAGCTATATTGGCAGGATAAATAGAGATTGATACCTGTCCTCTCCAGTGGGGCAAACACAATGGGAAAGTAGAATTTACACCTGTAACCCAAGTCTTAAGACTTGTGGACAAGTTGTGGTTTGTAGAAAGATATATTATGATGGCACAAAAACAAATCTAAGCAACTGGTGATTTTTCTCTGCAGAAATTTAAGCTAGGGAGGATGCTGAGGCCTGTCTACAGAAGTATCTAAACGGCTGTATTAAGGAAGATGAATAAGAATTGTCCTGCATAGTGCCAAGTTTAGAATTAGTATAAATTTTACCAGGACAGCAAGCTTCAGATTGACTACAGAAAAGTTCTAACAGTCAGAGATGTTCATAGACAGAAAAGACTTCCCTGAGAAGCAACGAGCTCTTTGTTCTTGTTGAGAGGTTCAAGCTAAATCTAGCTGACCATATGTCAGGGGCATGGTAGGATCAACCTGGACTTAGAGAGAGGTGGAGGAGGAGGGCTGCTGAGGTCCATTCCACCTGGAGGAGTTAAGGACCTTCTCATCTTCTCTGTCCTCTTTACTATCTAACTTTACCTGTTCCCCAATGTCTAACACCTGGAGCACTATAGCAGCCTCTCTCTGTCACTCCCATCCCCCAGTCCCACCCACTCACTCAATCCTACAGAATTTTCTAGGAGCAATCTAAATAACAGGGTATTTTCACTGTGACCTTTGTCTTCTCTACTGGTGCAAAATGTGTGGGGGAAAGAGTATTGGGTGTGTAGCAGAGAAGCAGAGGGAATGGAGATGGGGGATAGGTTCCAGAACTCCAGAAGCACTCTCAGTCCCACAATGTTGGACAGCTGTGACAGCGAGCACCGCTGGACTATAGGTATCCTGGTGGGAGGCATCTGCCTTGCTCCCTGCTCTTCAGTAAGAGATCCTTAGAACAACTCCCAGTGTCAGGGTGGTCCTCCAAATCCTGGTCTCCCCTGAGATCTCCTTGCAGCCTCCCTCCTCCTCTCCCATATCCGAGTGCTGTCCTATCAACCTTCCCCACCTCCCCCTTGCCTCCCTTGTCTTGCCCACTTCCAAGGGTCCCCTGGGTTGGGACAGGAACAGGGGAGAGCCCAGCTGCCTCAGCCTCCCCAGCAGCAGCCCCTCCTCCTTTTCTTTGTCTTCATTGGCAACTGAAGGCCAGATGTCTTAAGGGAGACGCGCACACTGAGTCAGATAGAGACAAAGAGGGGGAAAAGCAAGGTGGGTGGAGAGCAAGTCAGAGAGTTGGGGAAGAAGAGGTGGAGAAAGGAGAGGACAGAGCAAAGAGCACAGGCATGAAGGGACCTGCAGATGTGCAGATTTGTAGGAAGTCGAGAGAACCAGAGCAGGCAGAGAAAAGATACCTCAGAGGAACATTCACCCAAGCCACGGGCCACTGTCCCCACTCCCACCACTCTTTACCTGCTCTCG